CGCTGCGCGAGCGGGGCTACATCAAGGGTACCATGGGGCTGAGGGTCCCAGAGGAGGGAGGGGCCGGGGGGAGGTCCGTCCGGCACTGACACCCTGTCCGCAGACCAGGTCTTCGGCTGTGCGCTGGCCACGCTGTGCGCGCGCGAGAAGAGCTCGGTGCCCTGCTTCGTGCAGCAATGCGTGCGTGCTGTGGAGGCCCGGGGTATGTGCGGCTCCTACAGTACCGGACCGGGAGGTAGGGGCGCTGGGTCCGGGGCTGGGGCGGGTGAATCAGCGCCCCCATCTGCACAGGGCTGGACACTGACGGGCTGTACCGCATCAGCGGGAACCTGGCCACCATCCAGAGGCTCCGCTACCACGTGGACCACGGTGAGGCCGCCCCCTGGGGCGCAGGGCCCGCGTGCCGGCCAGCACCCCTCTGCCGATCTCCGTTCGCCGCATCTGTCCCCGCTGACCCTCCCCTCTCCCCCAGAGGAGCGCCTGGACCTGGACGACGGCCGCTGGAGTGACGTCCACGTGATCACCGGCGCGCTGAAGCTCTTCCTGCGCGAGCTGCCTGAGCCTCTCTTCCCCTTCTCCCACTTCAGCCAGTTCCTCGCAGCCATCAGTAAGCCGGAGCCCCAGAGGCCCAGATGGAGGGTCGGGGCCCCGCTGCTCTGCGCCAACCCTCGTCTCCCCACAGAGCTGCAGGACCCAGCCCGGCGCAGCCGCTGCGTGCGGGACCTGGTACGCTCGCTGCCCACCCCGAACCACGACACCCTGCAACTGCTGTTCCAGCACCTGCGCAGGTGAGCACGGGCCCCCTGCACCTGAGGAGGAGGGGTCCCTACGACCCCCATCCCCGCCTGACTGTCTTCCCCGCAGGGTGGTGGAACACGGGGAGCAGAACCGCATGTCGGTGCAGAACGTGGCCATCGTGTTTGGGCCCACGCTGCTGCGGCCAGAGACAGAGGAGGCCAGCGTGCCCATGACCATGGTGTTCCAGAACCAAGTGGTGGAGCTCATCCTGCAGCAGTGCACTGACATCTTCCCACCGCACTGACCGGCTGCCACCCACCCTTGCTGCCGCGGGTTCGGCGACTGGAAGTGGGGCTTTCCCTGGCATGTCCTCAGTGGGTGCCAGGGGAGGAAGAGCTTTTGTTCTGAGAGGGGGATTTGGTGTGGGTGCTTCCTGGCTCCTTCAGGCAGGCGCCTGGCCAGAGCCCTGTGTAGGTGACCGAGTACAGCCTGACGGCAGCCTACAGGACCATGCGACCTCCAGTCTCAGGCTCCCTGGCCCAGGATGAAGAACTGGCTTCATATGCCTTCCTGTCTGGATCCACATCAGGATCCAATCCACTGTGTCCTGGGCAAGGTATTTTTATGCCCACGAGCTGTGTGCCCTGGGCCTGCCGCAGAGGAGCCCTGTCCACACACAGCCGATACAGGAGGGAAATGGCTCTCAAGACCCTCAGCAGGGTGCAGCCTCCAGGGAGGGGCCTTGGCGTCTCTGCCCCCCATTCTAGCATGGGCCAAAGAGCAGCCTGCCCGCCTGCTTTTCTGAGGGGAGGAGCACCTGGCCAGGCCCTTTCACGCCCCAGCTGCCAAGCTGACTAGTGGGGCCGACCTTGGCTCAGCACTGGGAAAGACCTGGGGATGCAGGGTAAACCTTAGGAAAGGAGGGGTGAAGCTGCTTTAGCAGCCTCCGCCCGTCCATCCTCATACATAAAGCATGGAGGGCTGTGGATCTGGGGGCCCACCTCTCTGTTCATGGCTCAGTGAACAGTAATAACTCATATGTATTGAGCGTCTGCACCAGGCCAGGCATCCTGCCCCGGTTATCTTTGTGCCCCTTGCATTCTATATTTATTGTGTTCTCGTGTGCCAGGCACAAACTGTCCGCCCCATGGAGCTGGGGTCCAGGCAAGAGAGGAAGACTTCCTACCATACAACTAAATATTTAAAAAATGTAGGGCCGGGGATTTAGCTCAATGGTGCCACTGCCTGCCTCACAAGCACAAGGTTCCGAGTTTGATCCCTGGTACAAAAATAAATAAAAGATGTAAATCAAGCTAATAACTGTGAAATAAAATATGCTCTATTCTCCTCCTTTAGCAAGGGTGCTTTGATGATGAAAGCCAGGTTCTAATTTAAGCATCTGTGACTCTCCTGAGGTCCTTAAGAATATGGTGGGGTGAAAAGCAAAGACCTTCAGCCTGCCCCTCCCTTTGTCCACACACAACAGAGCAGAGAACAGGCTCTGCAGACAGGAGGCACTTCAACCCACTGGTGACATCTGAAGGAGTAGGTCTGGGCTATTGAGGCAGGGTGTGCTGGGCCCCCACATCAGAAGCCTGGTCAATGGGAAATGTCCAGCCTCCAAGAGGCCACCCTACTGGGAGAGCCACAGACAGGGCAGCACGGAGCCCCTGAGGTAGGAGACCATGTCAGGGACCCTGCTTCCAGATCAAAGGGCAGAAGCAGGCAGGGTTCTGGTGACATGGTTGTCCACGTCATAGGAAGAGGCACAGGGGCTCCAAGGATTTGTTGGGGGGTGAGTGCCCCCAGGACCCAAGATCCCTCTGCCAAAGCATGTGAGCTAGCCAGATTTTCCTCGTGGGGTGTAGTGCATGCACCACAGCTCAAAGGAGGAGAGCTTTAATGTGGCCCATGGTTTCTGAGGCCTTGGTTCATGGTAGGCCTGGTGAGGCATCATGGCAAGAGGGTGTTGGGGAGCAAAACTGCTTAGCTCATGACAGCCAGCAAGCAGAGCACAGAAGAGCATGAGAGAGACAGCCTCCAACATCCCTGGGACCACATCCCCCAGCTGGCCCACTGCTAGCAGCGTACTTGGTGGGGAGCGGCAGTGCCTAGCATGCGTGAGGCACCGTGAAGGAGGAGGGAAAGGGATTCCTTCTGTGCCCTTGTGTCCTTGCCTATCCCTCTCACCTCTTAAACCCCTGGTCTTTCTCCACATGTCTGATATTTCATTTGGAGAACGTCCCATAGATGAAGTTATGCAGCAGGCAGCCTTTCCAGACTAGCCTCTTGCTCTCGGCATGATGCCCTTCGTGTCGACAGTTCAGGACCTGTGACATCAGATGGCCCGTGTGCTCTTTGGAGTCCCTCCCAGCTGCCAGTGAAGGATGCGGCTGGGTGAGCAGCCATCAGGAGCCAGGCCTCCTCCCCGGCCAGGCTATGCAGTGGGGATGGGGTGTCTGCCACAGAGCTATGAAGCTGCCGGCAGGGGGCGCCAGAGACCTGACCCAAAGGCGAGTCACGCGGTGCCCGAGGTCTTGTCCCACTCTGGACCCCAGCCCACAGGTTTCAGCCCAGCCCTGAGATCCAAATTAGTGACTGAGGCGTGTGCCCCAGGAGGGGACAGGGAAAGCCTGGCTGGGAGAGGGGCCTCAGTCAGGCAGAGGGAGGCCCTGCATCAGCTGGGCCCTCCGCAGAGGGTGGCTCCGAGCTCAGGCTTCTGCCTGCTCTTCCTCTGCACCCCCATGGCTGCCCTCGGTTCCCCTTGCTTCTCCCAGAACCGGAGCATGCGCCTAGCCCTCCTCACCGTCCTCTCTGTCTCTGTCATCCTCCCTGCTGGCACCTTCCCCGTGGACCCTGCCAGGCCCCTCGAGCTCTGGCCCTGTGGGCCTAGCTTTGTGTCAGGCGTGGAATGAGTACCTGGGTGTCCAGGGTCGGGGAGGGGAGGGAACCCTGGCCCACAGTGCTCTCAGGGCCCCAGGCAGGGCTGACACTGTGGCCCCCTGCTTGGCGAGACATGGCTGCATGTCCCATCACCCATAGCCCGAGGACTTTCGCTGCGGGCTCAGCTTTGTGCCCCCAGCCTCTCCCTCGTACCCATGCTGCATAAAGCCTCCCAGCAGGGTCAGCAGAGGGGAAGTCGTCAGCATTCCCAGCTTGCAACAGAACCACCTTCCTGTATCCACAAGCCCATGTAACCCACACACCGCCTCCCCGCCAGATTCTCTCCCATCTCCGATGGCCCAGGGCCCAGCAAGGAAAGGGCCACATGTGAATCAGTGAATGTATGGATGGGTCAGGGCTGTATCTGTGAAACCCTCTTCCTGCGGCCTGCATTGCTCTTCCCTTCACCCCCGGTGGCTTTCCTGAAGGCTGCCCTCCTCTGCTGCCCTGGGTGCTGATACGGTGCACACTCCCTCCCTGGGTAGCCTTACCCCCAAGTAGCTTTAGCTGCTGCCCCACACTGCCCAGCACAAAGTCTCCAGTGGCCCAGAGCCCTGAGCATGCCCTGTGTCTGCCACCATTGCCTTTTCTTTCTTTCTTGTTTTTTTTTTTTTTTTTTTTTTTTTTTTTTTTTTTTTGGCTGGGGATCAAACTCAGAACCTTGCACTTGCCAGGCAGGTGGCAGAACTTCTGAGCTAAATCCCCAGCCATTTCACCTCTTTTCAAAGAGTCTCTGTCCTTCCCTTGGAGCTCCAGGGAACAAATACTCTGCTTCCCTGCCTGAGACCGCTGACTCCACCCTGCACATACTCAGTTGGTATTTGTGAAAGGAATGAGGGAATGGGCTAATGACGCTGCCTCTGAGGTCCTGTGAACACTTCTGGTTCAACACATCCCAGGCGGTTTCCTGCTCTCTGCTTCCTCTCTCCTCTGCCTCCCAATTTAGAATCCTAGGTCACCCCAGAGGGCCTGCTCTTCACAAGTAAACTACCCAACATGGCGCCAAGTTTTACCTCAGATTCTGTGCCCACTTATCCCAGTCCCTGCCTGCCCTGGTCCTCGCCTGCCCCTGTCCCCACCTGCCCCAGGGTCCAGCTGCCTCCCACTTCAGCCCTGCATCTTCCTCAGGGGTTCCCTGCCTGTCTCACACCCACTCTGTCCACACTGCCACTGGGCAGCTGTTCTTAATTGTCAGCCCCATTACCCTGACCCCACCTTAAAATGCTCCTTGTGTCCACACCCCACAGTGTGGTTCCAAAGTGTCAGACTCACAACGGGTGGCACTTGGCATGCTTACAGCAGGCCGAGGACCTCTTATATGAGAGCCAGGTCCTCTGAGTGACCGTGAACAGGAGCAGAAGATAAGGAGCCGTTTCTTTCCTAACTCTGTCCAGCCTTCAGATTGTGTCAAGGAGAAGGCTCTCAGCAATGCTGCCTTCCTCTCTCTGGCTAATTCTTCCTTTTAGCAGGAATCGGGCTGCAGCCAGCTGCCAGCTAGCACCCTAGCTCGAATGCAGAGGCACCTGAGTCTTGTTTTCATTCTGTTTCATTTACAATTACAGTACCTCCTATCTACAAAATGGGCTGTGGAGTTTCTAGCTATATTGCTAAGTCCCATAAAGTAAAATTTATTCTAAGAAGATACCCATCAAAGGGCCAATCTAGTGTCCAGGATATACAAAGAACTCTTACTTATCGATGAGAGAAATCAATAGAAATTGAAATAGACTCGGTCTTCACAAAGAAGACACATGAAACCCTTAAACAAGCGCCAGATGCATCAGTCATCTGAGAAATGCAAAGTAAAAATCACAGTGGGACACTGCTGAATCCCACCAGGGCTGGCTCAAAATCACAGCCTCAAATGCTGATGACGGTGTGCAGTGTCCCCAGCAGCGAGGACAAACCGGCACCCACTTAGGAAACAGCAGCCTCAACCGAACTCAGCCACACTCAGGAATTCGGTTCCTGGGGATGATTCCAACAGCAGTGAGTAAATGCACACCAGAAGTCACACCCACAAGTGTGCATAGCAGCTGTGCAAAACAGCCCCAAATAGACCACAGTCTGCCTGTCCACCAGCCACGGATCTGTCCACCAGCAGCCAGTGGACAGACTGTTGTGTGTTCCCAGAATGGAGTGGGTATGGAAAAGGATTGAAGGATTAAAGAAAACGCCTGTTGCATCACAGAAGCCAGACCGGAAGAAAAATCCTGCTTCCATTCATGCCAAGTTCAGAGGGAGGCAAAACTAAAGCATTCTTAAGCCTCAGACCCAGGTCTCCTGTGGCCTGGAGGAGGCGCTGCACCCCAGCTATTCTGCCTTCCCATGTAAAAATTATTTTCCCCAACCCATGTACTTTTTTGCAGGCATGTTACACATCAGGGAAAATTGCCTAAGGCTGAGGAGGAGCTCCATGGTCCAATGAGAGCTCAGCACCACAAGGTCTAAGATTCAGTTCCCAGTGCCAAAAAGAAAAAAAAAAATGACTTAAAGTTAGGCTTTTAAACAACAGAGTGCTTAAGACAAACATCAGAAACCCAAAGCCCAGGCTGTAACGGTCCTGCAGGCAGAGCCCACAGTGGCACAGGGACAGTTCGGCCTTGGGCCACACAGCCATCAGCTGGCCTCAGGAGCACAGTGGGACTCTGGGAACCTGAGTTTGGACTGAGCTTGGCCTGGCTGCTGGGCCCTAGGCAGATCGTCTGACACCCTGGGCCTCAGCCTCCTCACCTGCAAACCACGTGGAGGGTGATGGCGTCTTGAGCAGGGAGCAAGGATAGTAATAATAGGCAGACATTGCTTTAATCACACAGCACACTTCTCCTAACTACCGCCCATCAGTTGCCACTCCCTGTACCTGCACAGATCTGAGGAGAGCGACTTTCTTCTCCTATAAGGTGATTCGCGGGTCAGCGTTGGCTGCGGCATCGGCTGAGCATCCACATCTCCAGGGGAGCACTCCGGGCTAGTGCCCTCCGATGTCCTGGAGCAGAGTCTTGGCTGTGACCTAGTGCAAGATCACGAACGGCCAGTGGCCACCAGGTCTCTGGGTCACCGAGTGTGATGAACTGGTCTTTTGCTCTCTTTCCTTTATACTAAATTCTAGGGCTGTGTGGCACTGATTTGAGCTTATCTATTACACATCAGGCTATCAAAGTCACACATCAGGCGGGAAACAGGTGGTCAAGGTCATTATATTACTTCACACAGGAGGGAATTATAAGTGCTTATCATATCAGGGAGCAACTCCTACACACACACACACACACACACACACACACTGCACGGGCTCTCCCCACCTATCAGT